GTGCAGGAAAAGACGTGGTGAATCCGCCTAATTGAGGGCGTGAAAATGTGTGTGTTGAGAGTGCTAAAGTTCTCATTTGTTGTGATCCTATTTGTAAGCCAATGGCTATGTATGTGTGGGTTTGAATAACCATTTTGTGTACTGGGCTTAAGCCTTGGAAGATTGTAAACCCTTGGGGGTGCTTATTTGGTTATTTACTTGTTGTTGAATCAATGTAATATCGCATGAGGAACTATTATTATTATGTAATGCAAGTATGGGAAGTTATATTTGGTTTTCCTTTAAGAGAGCCATGATTGTTGCATTATCATTGGGCTAGAAATTTGGGGCGTTACAGATACCCAAACAAAAGCTATGGTTGAAGATGATGGCCTTCAATATAGGAACAATGGCTTGAAAATAGAGGCTCTTTGATACCTCATTTGAAATTGGTTGAACGCGTAGTTAAACCCATAGATCTGGTCTAACACAATTTCAAGATCATCCTACAAATCATAAACCCATCGTCATCCAAATCGTCTACATTTAACCCATCTCCAGTACAATTTTTAGATCATCATCGTGAGCCATTGATCGTCATCCATAATGTGATCTCACTGTCATTGTCGAGAGATAGAAAGAGAGATGTAAGGACTAAGAGAAAGAGAAATGCAAGGAGTAAAAGAGAGAGAGAGAGAGTAAGACGGTATAGTGGAAGAGAAGAGGTAGACGTGGCTAACAAGAGGGAGACGTGCTGGTTCTCCTACATAGAGTGTGTGTAATCTGTGCATTTACCAATTGATCCAAAATTCTTCAATAAAACAAAAGTTGAACAGAATAAAGGCGGAGAAAATCGGAAAGAAAAAAAGAGAGTCATATTTACTGGAGCAACTACTAACTCCCTCTTATATATAAGTGTATATATATATATTTAGGCAGTAACTACATCAATATTTAAAGAAGCATCAAGTAAGCATTTGCATTGAAAACATGCCAATCTCCTAGAAAAGAATGAAGAAGACTGATATTTGCAATCATAAATAAACATACAGGAGCCTAGTGCTAAGTCAAAGCTAATAAAGATCACACTTCATTTCATATTTTTAATGATATTTTTACTTGTTGATAAAAAAAAAAAAAACTAGGTAAAAAATGAAAGGGTGACAAAGGTTTTTTAGAAATGGTGACAATATAAAATAAACTAGCAAAGATTTATTTTAACTTTTTTCCATTGACAGGTAGTTTTGTGCATTGTTTAAGCTAAAAAAAATTAAAGTTGGTTTCTGGAGTCCACACATGGTTGTAGAGACGGCTTAACAAGCCAAGGTCGCACTTCAACAACAAATTCATCAGGAATGAGCATATGTTATATCATCAATAGAACTTGATTTCAAAACAAATGATATTATTATTAGATATGCCTAGTGTAGTTAGAACGAATATGCCATTACTATCTTATTTTCCTTATTTTGTTCTTGCAGAAGTAGCTAATATCATTTACCATAGCTATAGGACCAAGGAAAGAAAACAATTACCTAAACCCACCCCCTTTCTCGAGTGCAACATGCACTGTAGGATGTTCTTACCAATTACAATTATCTTTTCAAGAATCAAGTGGAAGAAGTAATTTTTAGAGCTGGTCATCAGTTAATCAACAAGGTAAGCCTGTACTTCTTCCCATTTTCCCTTTTTGGGTGGTGATTGTCTCCACACATAGGTGAAATTAATGTTGAGGGGTTGGGGCAGGGGTGTTTCGGGTCAAATATATTCACAAGAATTATCCAAAAACAACTATAAAATGGCCATACTGAGGCACAACCACAACACATCTAAATCTAGTGTGGAACTCTTTAATTGCTACTTCGATCTTTGCAGTTGCAGCAACAACTGTGCTTCGTCTGCATTGGACTTCAGTTCTTGTACAACTTTGTTTCTGAAAAATGCTTCTAGCTTTCTTGGTAGCTATGCCTCAGTAATTAACTTCTAACCGTGTGCATTAGAGGTCAAAGACCTAACCGTGAAACTGCATTTACAATCTCATATAGAAAACAATGGCTTGTTTAGATGGGAAAATCCTTAATACTAATTTGTCAACCACTATCAGGTAAGTAGCCAGCCATTGGTTTTCAAGAAATCTTTTCTTTGTTCTCACTAGCAAAACACACACACACACACACACACACACACACACACACATAGAGAGAAAGAGAGACGGAGAAATTTTCTAGATACATGGGCTTTATTCTTATACCACACAAAATCAAAAGGTTGACAAGTAAAATTATTCTCAAATACTACAGAAAAATTGCTGGGTCTTGGCTCAACTTAACATCTATCAGGAAAAAAGCATCGTTCAGGCCACTTCAGCATAGATCACTTTTGCTTCATTTTAACAAATTTAGCTCATAGACAAAATTGTATAGTTTAGCTCCTTTACCTCATTCATCAAAAACAGCAGGCAAATATATTCAAAAATGGAAAAATAATACAAATAGTCCCTCTACTTTACACGATGTGTCAATTTGGTCCCTGTAGTTTCAATTTGCTCGATTTTGCCCCTTAATTTAACAGATTGTGTCATTTTAGTCCAATAAATAACGGTTGTTAAGTTTCGTAGACGGAAAGTCTACACAATATGTAAGTTCGGTCCATGTAGTTTACACAATGTGTCAATTTAGTCCCTGTTATTTTAATTTGCTCGGTTTTGATAGGAACTAAATTAGCACATTGTGTAAATTACAAGAACCAAATTGACACATTGTGTAGACTTTTCATCCACTAAGGCTGCATTTGGTATTGTGAACAAAAGATATAGAAATCAGCAACATAGATCACTTTTGCCTCATTTTAACAAATTTAGCTCAAAGACAAAATTGTATAGTTTAGCTCCTTTACCTTGTTCATCAAAAACAACAGGTAAATATATTCCAAAATTGATAATAACTACTCAATTAGTGAGCAACATTATAAAAGAATCTATAAGTTATTAAGAAACATCTAACTATTAATAAAACTCCAAAATTGTTGAAAACAAAAATGATGCTTACCTTGCTGAAAAGGCTGCTACGACCCTATAGTAGCGATCATTCAACAACATCTAGTTATTAAGCAACATGTTGTTAATAAAGCTTTTAATTTTATTATTTTTTTTTTTTATGTAAGCGTAGTGATCATTCCCTAATCATTTAATTTTTACCATTTTTTCCAAATGACTAATTCTTCAATAAGTTCATCCTAGTGTAAGAGAAGAGGTATAATAAAACCCAACCAATTTTGTTAATATCATACCACTTAGTGTACCATTTTTGTAATTAGTTTGCTCCATATCGGTACAAGAAATAATATCATAATGCAATGGGTTTTTCTTAAGTATGCCTTGCATATGGTATTCAAGGCATATCTATTTTGTTATGTATTTTTTTTTTTTTTTTAGTTGTACAATTTTGTGTTTCTTGTTATAGATTGTTGACCTGCTAAGAAGGTCAACTTAAAGGTAAATCATATTAAAATAATAGATTATATTATATACACGTAAGTATTCTCACAAAAATGCTTAACTAACACAAATTTGAGTAAGTTATCTCATAAAAGTTTTGAACAACACAAAATCATGTAAGTTTTCACAAACTCACGTAAGTAATCTCACAAAAATGCGTAAGTAACACAAATTCGAGTAAGTCATCCAATAAAATTTTGAACAACACAAAGTTATGTAAGTTTTCACAAACTCACGCAAGTTATCTTACAAAAATGCGTAAGTTAACATAAATTTCCCGTAAGTCATCTGATAAAAGTTTTGAGGAACACAAAATCAAGTAAGTTTTCACAAAATCAAACAAGTGATTTCTCAAAAATGCGTAAGTAACACAAATTCGAGAAGTCAACTAATAAAATTTTCAACAACACAAAATCAAATAAGTTTTCACAAACTCACATAAGTAATCTCACAAAAATGAATAACTTAACATAAATTTCCCATAAATTATCTCATAAAAGTTTTGAGGAACACAAAATCAAGTAAGTTTGCACGAAATCACATAAGTGATTTAACAAAAATACATAAGTAACATATATTCGAGTAAGTCATCTAATAAAATTTCCAACAACACAAAAATAAAGTAAGTTTTCACAAACTCACGTAAGTGATCTCACAAAAATGCGTAAGTTAACACAAATTTCCCGTAAGTCATCTCATAAAAGCTTTGAGAAATACAAAATCAAGTAAGTTTTCACGAAATCACATAAGTGATTTCACAAAAATGCATAAATAACACAAATTCGAGTAAGTCATCTATTAAAGTTTTGAACAACATAAGATCACGTAAGTTTTCACCAACTCACTTAAGTGATCTCATAAAAATGTATAAGTTAACACAAATTTCTTATAAGTCATCTCATAAAAGTTTTGAGAAACACAAAATCAAGAAAGTTTTAATAACGAAATCACTTTCACAAAAATGCGTAAGCAACAAAATCAAATCAACTATATCCTAAAACCAAAATAACTCCAAATGAATCCCAAATTTCGTAAAAAGCATCCAAAATAACTTCAATTACCCACACACCAGATTTTGCGAAAGCAACCAAATTTCAAGTATATCTATGGAACCAAAACAGCCACGAAATCAAACACAGATGAAAACAAAACCTATGCACATTATATTTTTCTTAGTTTCAAAAAACAACCCATCCCAAGTGGAGTTCACAGAGGTAAAAAGGCGAGTTTTGAAATAGGGGAAACAAAAGGGGGTTTTGGTCTAGAGTTTCACAAAATGGGAAATGAAGAGTTGAGGATGGAGAGGGCCTAGAGAGAGAGAGAGAGAGAGAGAGAGAGAGAGAGAGAGAGTTTCATACCTTGAGGCAAAATGTTCAGATGTAGTTGTAGAAAATGGAGATGGAAGAGTTTCCACTTTGCAGAAAGGTCTTTGAGTAGCGTCGTAGAAGGGAGAGAAAACTATCTGAGTCGTGTTGGGAGAAAAACGTTAGGGCTTTCTATATATGTATATATATATAATTAAATTTAGCCGGCTATTGGCGCCAAAAACAGTGACTAGGATCACCAATGATGCTGGAAATACGTCCCTGATGATAAAAATAATGATAATAATGATAACAATGCTGTAAAGAATTGGTCATATTTTACTAGGTTTACTACTGATATGAGTGATGCTATTAATCATTTTTATGTTATCGGGTGTTAAAAGCTCATATTAGTAAGAACATGAGCAACACAGACCTTTAGGTGACAAGCTCTTCAACCTTAGTTGGGTTTTTAGCAAATTTCTTCTCAACGCATGTGGTTGTGTCAGCACGTGCAGAGGGACACAGACGGATTTTCTGAACTTCAATTTATTATGTGCCAAAGCAAGAGAGATGAATTGCAATTCTGGCAGACAACAAGAGGCTCCCCTCAATTTCAAGTCAGCCTATTAATTTTCTTGTGTAGTAGAAGCGGATTCCAAATCTTCAGCTGTCACTGGCTGATGCAGCTGCATTCATAAAAAGAGTAGTCAAAGTAAGCAGCAGATAAGAACCTAAGAATGTCTTGTATGGCATAGATGTTAGGTGATATCTCTTGATATGATCCACAAATTAATCATCATCGAAGAAACAGGGCATTATCTCATAGGTATATGAACCATTTGCTGGCAACATGCAGTTTCGTAGCCTTGGAAAATCCAACTGCTAGCTATAAATTCTTGTATTCCTTAGGATTAAACACAGGTCAAGCACATGAGTAACAGTAATCAGCCTGATTGCTTGTTGCAACTTCTTGCACAATCAGCTACCACTCAAAGATTTATCTGACTATCAACTCAATGGAACACAAATCAGGTGAGAAATTGAGTCGAACAAACTGAGAAATGCTAAAGTTTCTTGTTTAGGCTACTGCAATGCAATTAGTAGGACATATTCATGAAGCATACATAAAATAAAATGCAATATAAGACATCATAATCCAAAACAGATTTTCAAACTTTCAAGTTACTGCAATATTTATATCACAATACTTTCATATCTCACCAAAATAAAGCATAATTACACAGATAATAGAGCACATAATTTATGATTCATCTAAAATAATTTACCAGGAAAAAAAAAGAATAAATTATTAAGAAGGATAAGAACTGACTTGACAGTTACCATCTCCTTGAACCTTTAGCTCAACCAAATCATACAAATGCAATCTGAAAAAGATCAAATATTTCTAGTAATAAAAATACTAGAACCAATTTCATGTGCATTAAATAAAAGGCAAATGGAAAGCAAAAACATTTAGGTAACCAAGGAAGAAATGCAGAGAGATGAAAAGGAAGTAGATATGCAATGTTTCTTCAGATATCATTCGTAAAGATACATGCAAGGTTGTCAGTGGCCAATGCATAAACAAGGTTTTCTTTTTTTTCCCCTATAAGAAACAATAATGTTAAGATAAGTGCCCCATAAGAGTTCCCATTGTGATGGCTTCCTTCACCATTGGTAGACCTTTGTTTGGCAAAGTGACTCCCAAAGAAAAGAAAAAGATTGACTATCTCATAAAACACGCATCAATATATCTCCTAGAACTAAAACTCACAGCTTTGGCCCAACTAAAATAGTTAGACCAATCAACTTTACTACCTTCTTAAGTCATCAACTCACTTCAACTTAACAAAACAATAATCCTAACTCCCAACTACCTGAAGTCACCAACAAGTTTTTTTCTCATTCAGCCATCTTTCAATGGATTCATAAACTTCATCATTGAAGCCAAATGTCTACCAGTGGCAGTGGTCCGCCGGCAAACTTGTTCTTAGTCAGATGTTAACAAAACCAGAGCAGTAGAAACCTGGATTTCAAAGGTGGTCTCCAAAGATGTCAGAGTTCAAACTTGCCAATTGCCATGTCAGAAAAAAAATAATGTTCAGTTCATATTTAACTTTTTTATAGTAAAATCCACATCTGGAATGAATTTAAACAACACATTAAATTTTCTGAATATTTTTTTGTGTATGAATCTTGGGCAGTAGCATTACTTATCCTCATTCTGTAGCTGATACCCAAATGTTCCTTTCAGACCAATAAAATTGAGCAGAAAACTGACAGTTATTCGCACCATCCATACTAACTTCAAATGTCCTGAATAAAATATATTTATGGTCCTTAAAATGAATCTATAAAATGAGAAACAACTCTACAAAGGAGCACAACACAGGACATAAAAGAGCAACAACTCTAAATATCAAAAGAGAGAATATAAAAGAACAGAGAAAATTGGGAAAAAAAAAAACTACTTCATTACAATAGAGAAAATTGGTTAACAAACTCTATTTCTCATAATAGACTAAATAATTTGACTACTTTACCAACCAACTTACTAACAGCTCAACTAGACTCACTCAGCCCGGGCTTTCAAACTGTTCTCTCAGTTTATTGTCTCTTTTATTCTTTTTTCTTTTGTAAATTTTTCTACCAAACCTCAAATTTATATAACCTACAAATGTCCCTAATCATACCAATATTATGCCAAGATTTTGTTGTCTTTGTTTCTCAAACAATATATACAGAATTTCAAAAGCCTTAGAAAATTAAATAGCAGCAAATTCATTTAGACAAATGCACTGTTATATATCTTTGTTTATTGTTCTTTTCAGCTATTAATGTATCTTCTTGGCACTTGATTTGCAGAGATTATGACGTTTCAAAGCAAATTCGAGCAGGATAAAAAAAACAATTATAAACAATTGACTTCAAATTTTACATCCATATGTCACGCATTGAACTAGAGAGATCTCCATTCACTTCAATTCCAACAAACCATGTAATGGAGAGAATCTAAATTTGCAAATAGAAACCCCAAGATACTTTCCACTCAAATCTCAGAATGTTAAAAGCATCCAAGAGGCTGCTGTTACATCAAATCGATTATACAGATACATACATGATAATCGATTATCATATTCATTTTCATTTTCTAACTCTCATTCATAAGTCGATTATAATATATATGATAGGCGATTCATAAATATGATAGTCGATTATCAAATAAGTTGATAATATATGGTACCTGATCGGAATCGCTACCGGAGATACGCCGGGAAATCGGAGAATCAAGGAGAGATGAGGCGGCAACGGAGCGATCCAGCCCTGGACAGAGATGCTTTGAGACAATGATGAACCACAGATCAGAAGCAATCAACGAGATCGTTGAGAAGAACCAGTGAATTCATATATCGAATCCGTAGAAAAGAGATGCATGAAAAGAAATTAGGGATTTGATAGAGAGAGAAAGAGGGAGAGAGAGAGAGAGAGTGATGAAACCTTTTTTTTCATTTTGTTCCCGACTATATGAGTTCAAAAATTGATATATAAAATACAATAATATATTATTTGGGTTTATTAGGGACCAATTAAAATTGTAGGAATATGATTTGGATTTATTAGAGACCAACTAAAATTGTAGAGAAAAGTGATTGATCCTTTTTCAACTAAACAAATTTGTCTAGAAAATGTAAAAATATGATTAAACATATTTTTTAAAAAATTCTTTTATTTTGTCCTTAAAAGTATAATTTTTACAAACAAATTATTTTTGTCTCTAAAAATTTGTCTTTAAAACCTTAATTTCTTGTAGTGACTGCAATGTTGAAGTTTTTCAAGAGTGCATTTACCTTCAAGTTCAACTCTCTCAAATCCACCGTAATGTTCTTCACTTTCATCAAAATGTCCTTCACATCCGTCATCTATTGCTTAGTGTCTAGTCAGTCATGGAGTTGAACAACTCAGTGCTTCCCTCATTGCGGTTCTTGTTGCGGACAGAAGCCAAATTAGCTCCTCATTTGAACATTGAATCCACCACACCTTGAATAACCAGCAGCTTCAACATTTCAAGTCCTATAAGTTTCACAAACACTTTAATCCAGTTAGTATATAAACCAAACAACAACACGAAGAAAAGAAATCAAAATCAAATGAAATGAAATATACCCATTTAGGATCCTTGTTGAGAGTTTCATTGTCCTTCTTGTTCTTTATCTCAAGAAAATCTCTCTCCCTCTGTCTCATCTATTTCTCCATCAACCCTCGCTGGCCAAACAAGACTGCAGTCATATTATCAGAAATGGAATCTCCTACACAACAGTATATATATGAGAGAAGAATTTATACTAACAAACAAATTTAAGGAAATAGTATCTGTCAAAATGTTTTATAAAAATTTATTGCATTTTGAATAGTAAATATCTCATAACATTTTTTAAAAATATATATCAATTTTTCGAACAGTACATAATTCTCGACGGGTTAAAGTGTATATACCCATGGCAAAAGTGAGTCTCATTAAGCTTGTAAATGTGTGATTTTAGTATTTGTGCTCTGCCCTACAATAAACAAATTAGCAACTCATCAACTAAATTATCTGATCCCACCAACCCATTAAGCAATTCATTAATTAGTAGCAAATTTTATAAAAATTAGTGTCAACTAGGGGTGAGCAGCGGATATACCGATCCGCCAAAACCGACCGAACCGAACCGATCCGCCGCATTTTGGACTGATGCGAGATGACGAGCGGACGGTTGTGGATTGATTTTCTCCAATCCGCCAATTTGGCAGACGGATGGCGGATTTGAGATTTCTTTGGCCGCAACCGAACCGCCAAACCGCCAAATCGTGAGCACCCCCAGTAATTTATAGGACTTTGTATTTTAAATTTGTATAAATATTATGTTTGTGTTTTCAATTGAAAAAGAGTTTAAATATTCTGTTGAAAAAAAATTTTCAACTTGAATATATTTTTTGAATTGAAAAAAATAAACGTATTATTTATCTATATTTTTTTGTTTTTAAATCTAGCTCTAAAAATAATAAATAGAAAATATGATATATAATGGTTGGTTTTTTGTTTTCAAAAACATATGTAGATGTAACAATACAGAGACATACAATCTTTACTACTGCTCTGTTCATGGTTTTGGTGATTTGAATTGTTATTATATTTTAAGAATCACAGATTGTAATACTTTATGTGGATGAATCATACCTTGATTGTAATATGTGGATAAGGCATACAGTGATCGTGATATTTTAAAGTTTTCAAACTTTCTTTCTTTGGATAAGGCATACAGTGATTGTAATACTTTTTAAGTCATTGATTGTAATACTTTCTTTTTTTTTCTTTTTTTTTTCTTTTTTTTGAGTAAGTGCACAAGTTGAATTATGTTAAAAATTTATAAAATTTTAAACCGCCAAACCGATTCGCATCCATCTGCCAAACTGCCAATTCGTTCAATCCACATCCGCCGGATTAGCGGACGGATGCGGATTGATATTCTTCAATCCGCCAATCTGACGGACGGATGGCGGATTGGAGGTTCCGTGGCTGCAACCGACCCGCGCCCACCCCTAGTGTCAACAAAAATTCCATCACCAATTTTAAAAATCTAAACTGACAATAAATTCGTAAAAAAATATTCTTATACGCAATCTCTCATCAAAAATAAGAGAAAGAGAATCTCCAAGAACCATTTGAGAGATCATAATTTGCTGCAAATAGTTATTAAAAAATTAATTAATTAATTAAAAAATAAAAATAAAAAAAGAACTTGTCATGCTATGCCTGGTAAGCTGAGTGCTTCAAAGCTTCAGTGGGTAGAGACTGTAAGAACAAAAAGTATATACTATTTCTACCAAGGAAATTAGTTACATTTAGAATCATTGCAAATGCAAAAGGTCTGAGTTACTCCCATGCACCCTCTGATTGATGGTCAGTCTGAGTATCAATACTTGTTCTGCTATTTGTGTAGAAACCCTGGGAACGTTTATTTACAAGACGGATCTATTGAAGGATGTTGCCATAAAGCTTTTATCAACATAAACCCGGAAACATCAATTTCACCTCTCTTACCTGCACAAAATAGATGAATGTTTTCAGGCGGAAGCTGCATGTATATTTATTATTTAACGATGTATCAATTGAGCATTTGCATTGAACATGGCAATCTCCTGGGAGAGAATGAAGAAGAAGACTAGCATATTTGCAATTATAAATGAACATACAGAAGTTTAGTATGAAGTCCACTAGCTCTGAGTCAAAAGGGGACAAATAAAGATCACTTTATTTATTTATATTTTTATTTTATTTTTATTTTTATTTTTTTTTTGTGGGTTAAGAGGCCAGCAAAGTTACCTTTAAGCCAATCGTAACTTTACTGCATCACAAAACCTCTACTACAAAGGAAACTCTCACAATTAGACACATATTGGTTAGACATTCAAATGAAACCTGAAAGGTTTTTATTCATCTCTAGAACATACCTAATGTAATACTAAACCCTGATGGTGAATTTGCAGCTAAATGTGCAAATTTTCTTCCTAGCATAATGGAATATTTCTGCAATTGATAAACCACCAATGCATGCCCTTCAATTACAGCATAGATGTCAATACATATCAACAGAATGATATGCAAATACTACAGTATACGAATTGCTTAGAAGAGAAAGGAACGGTCGTAAATTCATCAGATTATGTGAACTTAAATTTATTCTCTCTGTTCTTACCTGCAGAGAGAGAGGGGGAGAGAGAGAAATCAAATTTCTAAATACATTATCTCACATGTTTCCTTTTTTTGTTTTTGTTTTTCTAATCTTTTTCCTTGTAATGTTGGAGTTGTTCAAAGATGCAATTTCTATAGCCTTGCAACTCCAGATCACCATAATGGCTATAGATAATCTACTTGGGCTAATTCAGAGCATTTTTCAAGCTCTAATATTTCAATCTGATCTTGAAGAGACTCCCAGGAATAGAACTTAGAAACTACCAATCATTAAGATGTATGAACAGGTTACATGTTTATGAAATTATGAGCACAAGGGGCATCCAAATGCTGACAATCGACTAGCATACATGAGTCTTATTGTTCCAGATGAATGTACTGTAAGGACAAAGAGAAAGCCAAAATGAACATAGAATGAATTCACAAGATATCCATTAAACAATAATAAAACAAGACTCTTACTATAGTTTCAAATATATATCTATGTACACATACATACAGATTTAGGAGTTCAAATAAATAGATGAAAAAAAGCTTTTCCGAGTTTGTGATGGATGGCTTCGGCTGATAAATTGAGTGAAGCATTCAGGGTATAATTGTCTTCCCAAAATTTACTGAATTTGACGATGAAAATGACTTTTATATAACATTATGACTACAAGCAAAATAGTTTTAAAAAAAATGTTTTTCGTTAACACAGCAGTGTCATAAGTCATTTCAAAAATCACAAGGGCAGATTTTGAAATTGTCAGAAACCTCAAGGGAGGTCAGTGTATGTGTAATTTACTCAAATAAAAATAACAATAATTTTATGCTTGTGGTCCTGAATAAGGCTGCTACCCTTGGGCTGTAATAATGAGGAATTAAGCTTATACTTTTGCCTTGTATGAGGAAACAAACAGCAAAGATCAAGCTCCTGCATGTGGAATAATGACAAAGAAAGAAAGAAATCTCCAAAAGTACCATTGGCTGTCATTTGTCCTAAATCCCTAAGACATGACCACTTGTACATAATTCAGTGGGGACTGAAGAAGAATCTACTTGAATTTGTAGCATGTGAATTAAAATACTGCGGAGAGAGGTAAAAAATAGTCTACAAGAATCTACAACATGTGAAAAGAAGTTGCAAAGTCATGTAGCAACAAGTCCAAAATAGTTAATGCAGAAGTATAAGTCTATCTCAATAAATAACCAAAAAAAAAAAAAGAGTTTCACCAAATAATATATATTTTAATGTGTGTAGCTTTACCTTCACATCTTAAGAAATTTACTCAATATCATGCATTCCATGACTATCTTTTGACATGAACTTCTTTATCACTTCTCGGAGAGCAGGATCTCGTCCTTTAGTTGAGAGTATATCTATGATCAAGGAAGAATTGCATGCCTCTGCCGAAAAACCCCTTTGAACCATTTCCTGAACGAGTATTAATGCCTCATAGCACTTCTGTTGTCCAATGTATCCTCGGATAATAGTGTTGTAAGTGACATCATTTGCCAAGCAACCATTTTTTTCCATTTTAACAAACAACTCTTTAGCTTCATGCAATAGGCCTTCTTCACAAAGACCATGTATCATCGTATTATATGTCTTAACATTAGGATGTAATCCGTTGGAAGAAAGGTTACTGAAAATAGCCCTTGCAGTATCAAGCTTTTTATCCTTGCAGAATGCATCAATGAGGATATTATACATAACAATATCAAGATGTAAACCGTTGCTTTCCATCATGTGGAATAATGACAATGCTTCGGAAATATGCCCATTTTTGCACAACCCATCCAATAAGATACCATAAGTTTGAGAATCTAGATTTATGCCTGCAGTTTGCATATCATTAAAAAGTTTTTGAGCAGCTCCACATCTACTTGATCGAAACAAACCCTGTAGCATAGCACTAAAGGTTTCGGTGTTAGGTTGC